ATAACTAGCAGCACTAAAAATATGGTAGCATTATAGCATATAGTTTTATTAGTTTACAGCTTTTCCCTTTTTTTCTGTTTGCGGTAATAATTCCCCAGCAGTCACTGCTATCATGGCTATGAACTGCCATCCTTCATGGTCTCTAACTGAGCGGTTTAAATCCTGGCCTTCTCTAACTCGTCTCTAAACTGATGTCTAGCTGATGGACTCTCCCCGAAAACAGCCAGGAAGAAAGTAATGGTAGCCAGAAAGAGGAGTTTGTGACGGGGCCAGACTAGTGACGGGTCAGGTTGGTCCAATTAATGAAAGTGAAAATTACTACCTTCAGGGCTGCTCGAAGCCACCACCAGTAGTCTCTCTCTTTGTTCTTATCAATAAGAGTTGCTGTCAGTCTCCTTTCTCTTTCTTTTGCCTATGATGCAACAAAGTCACGTGGCTAGTACAGTTAGGTGTACTTACATAATGGCTACTACTGCTGTTCCGAAGTTATGGCGGATTGGAGGAGTTTTTGTTACAACAATGGCACCATTTTACATCTACAGGAGAGCCTACTGCTCCTCTACAGTGACTAACAAGACTCCATCACTGGTTCTGTATCAGTATCAGACCTGTCCTTTCTGTTGCAAGACAAGAGCATTCTTAAACTATTATGGACTCCAGTATCAGATTGTTGAAGTGAACCCTCTCTCCAGGAAAGAGATAAAGTTTTCAAAGTACAAGAAAGTGCCACTTCTAACAGCTGGGGACGTGCAAGTATGTAAATACTAAAAGTAATATTAAAATATTATCGGAGGCAGCCATTGGGTGAGCTTACCTGTACCTTTAATTAGAATTAACGAGATGTACCGTATAGACCTTTACAATTAACATGTAGCCGCCATAATTGAAGTGTGAATATAATTCAATCATGTGGCAATAAAAATTCATTTTTGTAAATTCATGAAATAAAATTAATGAATATCATAATATCAAGTAGTAAGATAAATCTCCTCTAAAATCATAATATTCTTCTGCGGCAGGTGAATGACTCCAGCCTCATAGCCAGTGTCCTTCGGTCGTCCATGATCCTCGGTAAACCAGTCTCCAGGGTACTTAACATGTACCCAGAGATTGAGTTTTATGACGCAACTAATAAAACCCCAGTCAAAGAAAGAGCCAACAAATACTTTCTAATGTACGGAGAGAGAAGCACTCCTCCATTGAATGAACTAAGGTACAGAGAAGATTTTAAAATAATAATAATAATTTATTTATTTATTTATTTATTTTTTAGGGAGGAGAGGGAATGGAGGGAATGGGTTGATACTCACTTGGTTCACACCTTCTCTCCTAATATTTACCGGACCCTTCGGGAATCTTGGCAAGCGTTCCAGTACATATCAGAAGTTGGTAATTTCAATCCGTTGGAAAGGGCAGCTGCTAGATACTTTGGGACAATAATGATGTACTTTATTGGGAAAAGAATAAAGAAAAAGTAATTATAAAGAAATAATGGTCTAAGAGATGTATTTTAACATAATAATAAACAGGTATAGATTGAAGGAAGATGTGAGACAGTCACTTTATGACGAATGCAACAAGTGGACAGCTGCCATAGGAAAGAACAGGAGGTATATGGGTGGAGACAAACCTAACCTAGCGGACCTGGTATGTGATCCTGTTAAAGATTGGTATTGGTTACTCGTGTTTATAATTTTGATCATTTTCCATTAGTCGGTTTATGGGGCACTGACAGCTCTTGAAGGATTGGACACGTTTGATGACATGATGAAGAACACTTCAATAAAGAAATGGTATGGGTCCATGAAGCAATGTGTGGATGGACATGAAGGAGCAACTGATAAACAATAATAACAACAACAACAACAATAATAATAATAATAATAATAATAATTGGTCATTTTAGCATGTGTAGCATCTGGTGTAGCATTGTAATGTCAAGTATCAACACTCAAAATGAACAATTGAACATAATTGGAGGAGGTGTGGCTCAATGCTTTAGTGCAGTGGGTGGGGCTTGTAACTAATGGACAGGAGAATTTGCTGACTGGACGAACTAAAAATAGAGACAGGAGTAGCCTTTATAAAAGGAGGAGAGAGAGAGGGAGCAGGAGAGATAGATATGGCATCAGGAGTGAGTGACTGTACAGTGAATATCTCTACTGCTGATGGAGGGACAGAACTGGACTTTTCTTTAAAAGAACCTCCACATTCATGGAAACAGCTCCAAAGCTGCGAGGAGTTTGTAGGAGCTAAAAGAAGCAAGCACACGATGGTGGCCTGGGACGACAAGGTGTACGTGTTTGGAGGTGACAATGGGAAGAGAATGTTGAACGATTTCCTTGTCTCTCATGTAAACGACTCCAGCTGGGCCAGGGTTGTCATAACAGGAGGCCAGGCCCCGCCCCCTAGGTACCACCATTCAGCTGTTGTGTTCCGTAACTCTATGTTTATATTTGGAGGCTACACCACTGGCGATATTAATTCGAATTCTAATTTAAGGAACAAGAATGATCTTTACGAATATAATTTCACGACCAGTCAGTGGATTGACTGGGCCGATAAGGTAACTGGACCACTCCCACCTGCTCGCTCCGCCCACGGAGCCGTCATATATGATAACAGATTGTGGATATTTGCCGGTTACGATGGAAACACTCGACTGAACGACATGTGGTCTATTGATCTTACAAGTGCCACGCCTACCTGGGAGAGAATCGACCAATCAGGTGACAGCCCTCCCACTTGCTGTAATTTCCCAGTGGCAGTTGTTGGTCGGAGTATGTACATGTTCTCTGGTCAGAGTGGAGCTAAGATCACTAACAACATGTATGAGTTCAAGTTTAACGAGAGACTGTGGGTCCGTATTCCAACGGAGCACCTGCTGAAAGGAGACACTGCCCCTCCTCAGAGGAGGTATGGCCACAGTATGGTCGCTTATGCTGGCCAGCTGTACGTGTTTGGAGGAGCAGCTGATGGTATTTTAGATAATGAGGTTCACTGCTTCAACGTTGAGACTAGGAACTGGTCGATTATAAAACCTTATGATGGAAGTCAAGTACCTTCAGCCAGGGTGTTCCACACTGCGGCAGTCTCCAGGGACTGTATGTACGTGTTTGGAGGTACGGTTGACTCCATTGCTAGCAGAAGTGGAGAACTGTTTCGCTTTAAGTTCTCGTCCTTCCCTCCCTGTACTTTGATAAAGGACCTCACCAAACTCCTCCATGATCTTCCTCTTTGTGACGTTCATTTCATCGTGGGTGACAAAGAGAGGAACATCATTAAAGCACATGCCGCCATTGCTGCTGCTCGCTCTCCTTATCTCCGTAGGAAGATCCTTGAAGCTTATGAGAAACCTTCAGGAGAAGAAGAACTCCCGCCATTCATTCCTTCGTCTCCTGTAGAGGTCACTCTTGGGGGTGTGTCCACGTCCACATTCTCTCATTCCATGTATTACATGTATACCGATCGGATTCATCCGGAGCTTGAAGCCCCACCCCAGGGGGACCAGGTTCTGCTCATGATGGAACTCTACAAGTTTTCGTTGCTTTTGGAGGCTCGGAGACTTGAGCTGTTGTGTATGCAGTATCTTGAGGCTTCAGTAAATGTTGATAATGTCCTTCTGGTTCTTGAGAATGCGTCAGAGTTGAACCTCCAGCGACTGAAGGAATACTGCATGAAGTTTATAGTGAGGGAGAATAATTATCGCAAGATAATAATGATGCAGTCGTTTGAGAGGCTAGACCACCCCCTGATGGTGCAGATAGTTAGACGCCAGCAGTACAGGTCCCGCCCTACCTCTCCCAGCCCAGAGTCCGATGATCAGCCATTACCTTCAACCCTTCAAGATGACCTTAGGCTGTTCCTATTATCAGACTATGGTCGTCCATTATCAGATATTGTTCTTAAAGTTGGTGATCAAAAGGTCTTGGCACACAAACCTTTACTAGCTGCCCGTTGCTCTTATTTTGAAGCTTTCTTTCGCTCGTTTATGCCGTCAGACAATCAAATAGAGATATCATTTGGGAGGACTGTCCCAAGCCAGCAAGCGTTCCAATCCCTCCTTAAATACGTTTATTATGGAGACACTGATGTCCCTCCTGAAGATGCTCTATACATATTCTCAGCTCCTAACTTCTTTGGATTCTCCAACAACTGCTTACACATCCATTGTAAAGCAATCCTGGAACAGAACATTAGCATCAGTAACGTAGTCTCTCTATTGGAAGCATCTGATCTCATTTCACTGGCAGAGATGAAGGAACATTGTCTTAAACTTATTTCTGAACATTTTCCATCTCTTGTTCATCAGCCGGAGTTCAGGGACTTGAATAAATCTCTCCTTCTTGACGTTCTGGAAGTGATTGCAAAGAAAATTGCTTAAACAACCAATCTATTATTTTTTTTTTTTATTTTTTTTTTTATCATCATTATTATTTATCATCAGTTATCTTTCTTGTTAGAACAATTATAGTATTTTTTGTTAATTTTTATAAGTACTTGTACAAGCAACTGTTTAAACGTTTATTCTTGCACTAAAATAAGATCCACTCTCAGTTAGTTTGACTGTTCCTTTTATGTGCCCATTGTTCACTTGTTTTTGGAGATTGTCACGACCTTTGATCCCATCAGTGTCCTTGGAAAGATTGAACCAAATCTACAGAAAATTAATAATATAAAATTGGAAAATTATATGGAAAGTTTTTCCCAAAAATGGTTCCGAAATCACTTCAATTTTAAAAATACATTTCC